TCTGCTTTCCTCTCAGCGCAGGAGTCCAGTGGATGGGTTGGTGCCGCCCACATCCAGGGCTGGTCTTCCCACTTCAGTGAGACCTCTCTGGAAACAACCTCACAGACATACCTGGAGGCGTGTTTCCACGGTGACTCTAAATACAGTCAACTGACGGTGAACCTCCCCCACACAGCCCACCTGTAGCACAAATGCTAATAATAATGGTCTTAATAATAAAAACCCAAAGTCAGATATGGGGGTGAAGCTGAAAGATCAGAGAAGTGGAGTCTCTAGCTGTTGCAGAATATTATTTTAAGGTGCGTTACTTTTGTTTATGCTCTGGGACATTTGTTTAATGATGCAAAGATGTGCTTGATTAAATAAAATTCACCTGAGGCCAGGAGGCTGCGTCAGCAACCAGCTGACAGGAAGTGGTAGGGAGGAGCCAGGTGGAGAAGGGTTTGTAAGGAGGGCGAGGAGAAGGGCGAGGGCTTTAAAAAAAAAAAAAAGATTTATTTATTTATTATGTATACAGCATGTATTCCTGCAGGCCAGAAGAGGGCGCCAGATCTCATTACAGATGGCTGTGCACCACCATGTGGTTGCTGGGAATTGAACTCAGGACCTCTGGAAGAGCAGTCGGTGCTCTTAACCTCTGGGCCATCTCTCCAGGCCCTTTCCCATTTTTTTTTTTTTTTTAAGACAGGGTTTCTCTGTGTAGCTTTGTGCCTGTCCTGGATCTCGCTCTGTAGCCCAGGCTGGCCTTGAACTCGCAGAGATCCACTTGGCTCTGCCTCTCGAGTGCTGGGATTAAATTCGTGCACCACCACTGCCCAGCTGCAAGAGGGCTTGTGGAGGACGAGAGCAAGGAGAGGAGGTGAGCTGTCTGCTGTGCAGCCTCTGAGGAGCAGATTCCACCTCAACCTTTGGATCTGGAGTTCTTTAGAGGGACACAGGCTTAGCTAAGTTCCCCTCATAGCTTTGAGAGAGCCGGTGCCTGAGGGAACCGATTTCCCTCCGGCCATGGCCAGCCAAAGTGCTGCTGGTAGCGGCAGGGCTGCAGGGCTGGTTCGGACAGCCCTGGCTTAAAAGGCGGCAACAACTTCTTAAAAAGACGGCAGCCAGCCACTAGAAAGACCTCTCACCTCCAGGAATCCTCAGACGGAAAGGGCCCGAGCTCCCGTACCCACCCTGCCTTCTCTCTCAGCCCAGCCATATCACTTCGTATTTCCTCGAGATCCCAAGCGCTGGGATCAAAGGTGTGGGCCACCACTGCCTGACCTCTGGTGGCCAGCTCCATTTGTTAGAGCACCAACAAAATATAACCACATTCCACCCAAGCAGTCTTTTTAATTGAATGGCAGTTCAGCCGTGTGACACATGGAATGAGGACACAGACCATGGCACCCTGGAGACTTCTACCCCGCGCTTACTCACAAGGACAGATAATGATGGAATTCTGGCATCAGCCACGAGCTCAGCCCTGTTAGCGGGAGTCTATAACAGTAAACTGCCTGGGAGCAGCAGTGGTCTCGTCAGCCCGGAACCAACTGCTCTCTGTGTGGACAGGGAGGGCAGTGAACTCTGGGTTTTGTACTAAGAATCAGTCTTCAGCTGGGAAAAACCAATCAGAAAGGTAGCAAACACTCTGAGTGGACAGTCAAGGAATGTGGGGACCTGGATAAAGGTGGAGATGAGGCCTGGTCACCTTCTGGTGTGCTCCAGGTGGAAAGGGCAGGGGAGGGGACACTCTGGAATATGAAACCACCTGCCACGTGGGGAAGCGGAGGTGCTGAGGGGTACTGCTAAAACAGGGGAGCCCAATTAAAGGGGAACAGCCGAGCCCTGAGCACACGCTCAGAAGAAATGACTGATTGGCAGAGGGAGGAGGGAGAGCCACATGAGAACACCAGCTAGGCTGGGCCTCCCCTCCTCCCCCTGGAGCAGCCAAGGCAAGATGGAAGAAGGCAGTGACATGGTGGGGAGGCAGGTCCTGCTCCTCTGTTCCTCATGAGGTGGCCCTACAGCACCCTCACAGTGTATTAAATCACTCAGGAAGACACATCTGTGAACTGTCCCTCTCGGGGTGGGCCTGGCTGTCCACGCCCACCCCGAGATCCCCCACAGCCTGCACGGCCTCGCTCAGTTCAGTCTGTAAATCTCACTGCAGAACATTCCCATGCAGGAAGCCAGCATGGTTTCTCAAAGTGCTCAGAGAAGAATTAATGATTGGAAGGTAAGGCAACGGGATTTGATGGTGCTTTAGGGCTACGGCCCTGCGGAGAGAGAATGTCTGCATCTGGGCGCAGGGGCTCTCTGCCTAACATGAGAAGGGCATGCCCCAGAATATTCGGCATCTCAACTAGCAAAGCCTAGACCAGACCTGCTGTGTCCCAAAGGAAGGTCTGGAGAACAGAAGCCATGACCGCCCTCAGAAAGTGACAGCCCAGTGTCCTCAAGACAGGACCTCCCCTTCCTGCTCAGCTCCCAGGGAAACACTGTCCTCACAGGCCCACAGTGAGTGACTCCCTCTCCTCACCAGGAGGTGAGAAGTCCAGTGCCACTCGGGGAGACTCCTCCCACTCCCAGCTTCTGCATGACCACCGTATGTGAAGGGGACCTGGGATCGAGACGGCTGCTGCCAGTCAGTGGCATCTTTTGGCTAAGCCAGCTCTGACCAAACCAGCCCTGTACAGCTGCTCAAACAAACCTGCCTGCGGGAGAGTGGGCAGCACGTCCCCAGGAACACCCACACCACACGACAGGCTGCATCCTCTGGTGTCTCCGAGTTGTTTGAGAGTGGGGAAGAGAACAGAGCTGGGGGGTGGAGAGTGGAGATCCCCTCTAAGAACAGCATGTCACGTGTGAGCTGTCAGCTGCTCAGCCACCGGGACTTGACCTGTTCTTCCAGGCCTGGGCCAAAATGCATTCTCAAACATCAGGGTATTTGATCTTTTTGTAATGTGGCCAACCATCTACACATAAGCAAGGTTTCAGTTGCCTTCAAAACACAGAAAATTAAACAGGAAGGTCATGTGCTGGCAGCCAGGGATCTCTCCTTGGCCTCAGGCTCTGTGGAATTCCTATGAGAATGGCATGAGTGTGCTGGCTGGCTGGAGAAGACACAGCAAGGCCTGAGGG